TGGTAGTGCACCGGTACACGAGAGTACCACTTACAAAAGTATATCTATATCTATCAAAATCTAAACTTTTATACAATAATTCTGGTGATAACTTAATCATAAACAATAAACAATTCCAATAAAAAAAATAATCTAACCCGTAGGATTCTTAGTGTGGTATTTGAAGGTACGCCAATTTTAAGGTACTTAAAAGTACCTTTAGTAGACAAAGGGTTAATATATTTGTAATATAATAAAATAATTTTCACATTTAGTATTATTTCACAAACCCTTTTGTTAGCACATGTCATAGGCTAACAAAAGGGTCTCTCTAGTTCTTCGACAGAGAGAATACCTACCTCGAGTAACTTTACAGTGGAGAAATAGGGTTTGAGAATCAGTTCAGGTTTTGTGGTTTAATTTAAATGCCAAAATAACTTAAACTTGTTTATTCTATCATAGAAATATATACAATATATACAAAATCATAAGTAAAGGATATATACATAAAATAAAGGTCTATCGTAGACAGGTATTATACAATGCTATGTGTGCAAACAGGTCAATATTTCGTTCTTGATACCCCAAAAGGCAACAGGCAGGTACAGGCTCCGTTTTCCTCCACAGACAGGCAGGTTCACTTGCAACTGGGGCTATAAAGAAGTAATATTAAATGCAAAATATATAAGTGAGGTTATGTTCACTTGGATGTTAAATGTAGATAAATTATTAATTACAGGACGGGTGGCAGGATAGCAAATAGGTTAAATACGGCATACAAGCTCAGCATAAAAGCCCAGCATACAAGCCCCAGGTTAACTTACTGTTTTATATCACTAGAAACTAGTCCTTGTGCATTCAAGTCTCGGTATTGGTTCTTCCATCCAGTATTAGACCAGTCGGAATTTGAGCCACCAATAGACTGATTTTATTAATGTCCAAATCCGCCTTTTATAGCTAAAACTTGCACAAAGAAATCATCTAAAAACAACATGACGCCGTTCTGCTCCATTGGGTTGTCAAAATTAGTTGTTTTAGTACATGGTACGGCATCTGTTGGCTGGTGGATGTACTACTTCTTGCAGGTAACAGAAAACTGCGGTGAATTACTACTGGTTCATTACATCCCCCTCTTACAAAATTATTGTTTTTAGATCACTAAAAACAACGGTCGTACACAGGATTTAAAAGAAATACATGGAAAATAAAAATAAAATTATTAAAACCAAATCAACAAATTTCTTCTAAAACATCTTCACGGCTCCGGGTTCCGGGTCCTCTTCCGTGAATAAGAAATGGCCGTTGGGAACTTTACCCAATCCCTTGGCGGTAAGCAATTCCACCGTCGCATTGTTGCAGGTGCGGAGTTGGTGCAAAGTTTGGCACAAATCGTCGGTATCCGGTTTCTAGGACTTGAGGAATTACTTGTCCTCGTGGCACCGGGTATGCCTCCTTTATCGAGACGTCGTTGATTTTTCGAACATTTGTGCAGAATCGTGGCTCTCCATTAGCTTGCTTGACCATCACTGTTGGTGAGCTCCAAGGACTATGGGAGGGCTCGATTTTATCTGAGAACCTTTGATCAACTTCGTCGTAGATTTTCTTTATGGCGGGTTCTTTGATACGAATATTATGTTGTATTCTGCTGTTATTTGTATCACAGGACTTTAATTCGGTGGGCATAAAGTTGGCCACTTTCTGTTGTTCTTCGGGAATCAGGTTTTTCTGGATCAAGGACAACAGAGCCGGACTTTTTCCTGGTTCTTCTGGGTTTTCTGGTTCATTTTCTGGTTTTTCTGGACTTTCTGGTTTCATTTCTGGATTTTCTGGTTCATTTTCTGGTTTTACTGGACTTTCTAGTTTCTTTTCTGGATTTTCTGGTTTATTTTGGGTTAGGTTTTCCAATATCTTATGCTTGGATATAAAATCCATCCCCAAAATAATACTTTCCACCAAATTTGGTAGAGAATAAAACAGGTGCTGAGTATATTTGTTTTCAAATTGACAACCAAGGGTATAGGGCCTATACTATAGGCCCTAGTGACTGGTTGTAGGGACCCATCAGCCAATTGTACCTGGGTAGTACATTGTTGTCCTGGTTGATTTGATATATTTTCTACCACGGATTTACCGATATATGAATATATAGCTCCGGTATCCAAAAGGGCATCCCATTCTATCCCTTTAATTTCAAATTTCAGGAACATTCTGGGGTCGTTAGCCACATTTTCGGGTTGATTGGCTAATCCATTGGGAATTATCATCGGAATTTTGGCATCACACTGTATATTTTGTACTGAGTACGGTCCTGGTGAAGCCGGTAGGGACAGGAATTCAGACGGCTTCATTTCTGGCTCCCTCCGGAGTTTTCCGGGCGTGGGCATGTGCAGTCTTTTGACCAGACATCCTGCTTGCCACACCTGGAACAAAATATTCGGCCCCTTTCGCGACATTCACTGCGAAAATGCCCCTCTTTACCACACCGCCAGCACACACGTTTTCGGTCATATACTGGGGTATTCGGTGGCTTCACTGATGGATTTGTTGGCCGGTTATGGGTAGAATACTGTTTTGCTGTTTATAGTACTGCCAAGACTTGCTGTTTATAGTACTGCCAAGACTATTTTTCCTTAACAAATTAAAACAAAAATGCAGTTCACAAATTAATTTTGACCTAAAAAGTAGGTTTTCAAACCACCGCGGTAAACTGGGAGAATCTCTTGTTCTCCGGGTGATCGGCAAATTTCTATGAGTCCACCAGATTTTTTAAAATGAGTTTTATTTAATTTTTGTTTTTGACTGGGAAAAAAAGGGATGGTCCAAAAAACGAAAAATATAGTCCAGTTTACATTGTAACCGATAACAACTGATGATTAAAGAGTTAAAATCACAACAGTCAAAAACAAAATTTTACTTAGGAAAATCTAGTGGCCCGAATAAATTTATCCGTCAGATTATCATAATCAGGTTATTAATTTCATAAGCAAAACAAAGCAAAGTAGAATTTGTTTTTTACTTAGGTATTCAATTTTTTTTTATTTAAACCAAGTTTTAGTTCTGGACAACTTGGGAAACCGCCTCAAAGAAAAATGCAGACTCCAAATAACATTTCTAGAATAAATGTTCCATTAAAAATTAAATGTATTGCAATAGTATTAACCAAAATATTTACTCTTTATCTACGTCATGCCGAGTATAAAGCAGAGCTGTGTGGTACTCGAGTACAAGAACTCAAACACTGTACTCCAAGTACTTTCAGTGTACTCGGTACTCAGTCCCGAGTACTTCAATTTGAATGTACTTATACTTGTACTTGATACATTTAAGATTTCAAAAATATACTCGAGTACTTTCCCGTGTACTCGAGTACTTTTCCGTGTACTCGAGAACTTACAAAGTATGCAATGAGTATATTTTTATGCGGTGAGGTTGGCGTGGGTGCACATATTTGCAAATATGTACGTGTGTGTTGAAAATTTTAAGTCCGGCAACACTGCTCAGACTTATCAAATTACGGACATGCTGCCTGAGGCAGCCTGCCTCAGACGACAGCCTTAGGACAGCCTCAATCAATAAATAAAAAGACACAGGAAAGAGCATTGAAAAAGGTTTTTACTTTCGTATGAAATATAATTTTGTTTATATTTTGGTTGCTGCGGACACCGGTTATAATTATTTGACAGACCTACAAATTGTGAGTTACAATGATTTGCAATGGGCGACGGCCATATTGTAAAACCTATACGTACGTACTTCCAAGGACACGTCCAATATATCAATTGAGCTCTTTGCTGTATATTTTTATTAAATGGCCTTAATCCTAACAAAACTTCTATACCTCGGTTCCGCGAAAAGCCACGAAGTTAAGCAACCCACTGCACACTCAGAAAATAAACGCCATTTTTATTTTTTATAATTCTTCTGTTGTGAGTTTCTTTTTGTGCTTTTTATACGGATTATCGTTGTTTATTGGTTTTGCCTTTTGTTAATATATTAATATTGAATAGAACATTGTTTTTATTTAATAGAAATTCATATTGTCAAGAAGGTATATCTTAGATATAATATATACCTAAGCATATGCTTAAATACGTAAGGACAAGAGGACCAATCTCTCCTTGTTGGACGACTATAGGGTATACCCGCATGTAAAAAAAACTTTTCACGCGTTATAATACGTGTCTGCCATCATCGGCTGCAGTGGAGCGCTTATTTTCGTATGCGACCATAATTAATAATCTACGTCGTCATAGTTTAACTGACGAAAATCGACGAAAAGCCGGCCTTAGTTGATAATTAACATATCAATATTTGATGAAGGCAATACGCCGGATAGTATTTAATTTTGCACTAGTGATTCTAAATTCATTTCTTAATCGCCTCATTTCTCTAGCATTTCTCCCAACATTTCATAACAAAAGTGTACTCGGTACTTTGTACTCGTATGGGTACTCGAGTACAACGGTACTGTACTTGTACTTGGTACTCGAGTACTTTTTCATTGTACTCGGAACAGCTCTGGTACAAAGCATAGTTTTTGAAATATAATATTTATTTTGACTATGAAAAAGAGTAGATATTATTAAAATTTAAAATTCCCGCTTCATTTCCCCCGCAGAAAATTCTTCAGTCGAGGAGTCCGGCCGATGTGGTAACTCTACCCCTGCAGCGCGCTGCTACCCATTTTTGCCAGATGTACGGGCTTCGTATACACACCTTATAAATGAAACTTCTAAAGGAGATAGTAGGAATCGAGATTTAGAGTAATTTTAAATAATTGTGTTCAAGCCTGCCTGAGTTACTTAAAAACCATATAAAAACTAAATGAAGTTTTATTCAACAAAAAGTATTTGGCTTCAATTTTTACGGACTTACACCTCGCTACAGAAGTTTTACTTTAAAAATTATCTGGGAAAAATTGTCATTTTTAATTTTAGTCCCCAATAAAGAAGAAAAATGTAAAACATATTATGTATTAATATATATATATAATTACCTATTTATTTATATTTTATTTTTAGAGACATCAATCAAATAAAGGAAACTTTAAACGAAATGGTTTTGGCTATTTGCAAGGAGCTTTTGGAACCCGAAAAAAATGAATTAATTTCAAAGTGTAATTAACTTTTAAATTACAAGTTGTTACTACCATTTATAGAAAAAGTAAGATAATAAATACTAATACTAAAAAATTTACTTTTATATTTTTATATCATCAAATCGCAAATGTTGTAAAGGAAATTGAAATCTTGATTGGGACATTGTTAGTATAAACAATTCATAACCTGTACCATTAATACCCAAAACGAAACCAGAAACTTCAAATTTTTGCAATGGCTGCATATATGAAGTTCTTTTGCAAATGCAAAATGAGCTACATAGGCGAAACGTTAGAAATAAGATTAAGTGAACATAAGAAACATACAAGACTAGGTGAAACGTTGAAGTCAGGAATCGCCCAACACGCATGGGACAATGGCCACAAAATAATTTGGAAAAATGCCAAGGTTATTTTAAAAGAAGACCATTGACATTCTAGAAAATTAAAAGAAGTTGCCTATATAACAAGTAATAGGAACGTGAGGGTTCCCCTCACGCTCGTTGCGCTTCAATAACGGTAATTTAGATATATAAAGAGGAATATAATTTAATTTTTTCATTATTCTACTAGCAATTGAAATGATAAATAATTTTAAAAGATGTCAGTCCAGGAAGTTTCAAAAAATATAATGAGTATATTTAGCATTTGGTCAGTAACGAAATTTTGTCCAAATTTCTATTGGTGTTTTTAATTTTTTTAATGCAGGCTCTGCACCTGGTAAATGTTTTATAAAATTTTCAAATCTAGTTTTTACTTTTTGTGTCATCTTTAAGGGCCGTAATGCCCTTATATAGCATTTCTGACCCCATGGTCATAGGAACTTTTTTTATGTAGAATCACCCGGTTAATTATTCGAAAGGAGTTCGAAAACACCCTGTATATGTTTATAATAACATGGTGTCATAATTGCTATATATGGGAATTACTCCCCTATGAAGATGGCACATTTACATTTTATTTTATTATATTAAATATATTTTTTTACATCAGAATGATGTTGAAATGTAAACGCCAAAACAAATAAATATTTTTTGGGATGGTTTTTATAAAAACTAAATAAATAATAACAATAGAAATATAGTGCAACACCTGCCCTTGGTACTCAAACACTACATTATTTCGAGTATAAATTTAACGTTAATATAAATGTTAAAACGTAAGAATCACCTTGATTAGTTAATTTATATGATTAAATTTATTTGTAGCTTCCCCAGAATTTGGTAAAACACAAAACCAACCTAACACTAATAATCAACCTTTATAATCTGTGCGAGTAATCCACAATATACCTAATCACAGATACATACAGTGTTGCCAAATACAAGTATCTTCTTCTTTAACTCTAATCACAAATCTGTGTTCAGAGGGATGTGACATTTGCTTAATTTGTTTTAAATTATTTTTTAATTAATTTAAATAAGAAAATCCAAGATTTACTCAGCCCTTAAATCATTTATTTACTCTTTTATTCATTTATATTAGTTTGTATATTACCATCTTACATTTTCTTTGCACAGAATTTCTTAAAAAAAATTTAATCTTAAATCATCCATTCCTTCTTTTGAATATTTTCATATATTTATATAATTTCAATAAATACCAGTATATTTCTACCATGGGAATCCGATCTTGTCCTGGGTCGCAAAGTCACGTATTACAGTATTGTGCGAATTAATTTAGAATAGATTTATACTAGTTTATATAATTATTTTAGTATTATTTGTAAGAGAATATGTTCTCCTTTTAGCCTTTATTAAAGCTTTAACTCGTTTTGGCATAGAATTAATCAATGTATTGCAATTTTCCGTTATTTTTTCATTTCGAAACCATACCTGAATGACAGCCTCAATTATCTTAGTTTTTGTAGAATTCATTTTTAGCCATCTGTCCTTGCATATAGCCCACAAATTCTCAATAGGATTAATGTCCAGTGATTTTACAGGCCAGTCTACGAGGGTTACCTTTTTTTCCTAGTGTAAATTAGTCGCAATAACCGGCAAAATGACTGACATTAGCAATGACTTAAAGCATAGTGATAGGTTATGGGATATATCAAGAAAAACCTGTCAAAATTGTAACAGCAGTAATCGAAGTTAAAATAATATAGAAATTCCCAGTAGTGTAGAAGGCGGGTTCCTGACTCAAACTGTATGGCATGTGTTAGAATTCAGGATTTTGAGGATGTCTTCTGCTGCTGAAGACAATGACCAGAAGGTCTTCAGATGGATTTTCAGGATTTTCAGTGCCGAAGAGGTGCTTTTCAGGATGTCTTCGGCTGCTGAAGGTCAATGACCAGAAGGTCCTTTTCCTGAAAGATAAGGACCTTCGAGGTCCTGGTTTATCTCTTAAATCTTAGGTTGGTAGTAAATAAATTTTGGTTGGTACTACTGTCTAACTAGATTTTATCTCTTAATTCTATATCACGTGATTATGACCATGTGATGACGTAACATGAAAAATTAAAAAAGTTTTTATATTCGCTGGGGTTTGAACCGCGTACTTGTCGATTCAAATTCAAATTCAAATTCAAAAACATTTTTATTACAATTTAAAGATAATATGTACAGGTGTATTTACAGAGATATGTGGCATATATATATATATAAAGGAATAAAATAATTTTTTAAAAAGAGGAAAAAAGATAACAAAAATGATTAAAAAGAATAAAAATACTAAAAACATATGTACAATTTATATATATATATATATATTAATTAACCAGTTTTTTTCTGGGACAGAACTGGTTAATAAGCCAACCGCGGGTAGCAGCGCCGATATTATGGCCCGAATCTCCATAAGCACCCGTCTCAAATAATGACAGTAGATGATTCTCCCTTTTCGAAACACGATCCTGGAGAAATTGCGTCGAACAGTACATTTAATGAATTAAATTTTAAAAAGGAAAGTTCTAAAAAAATTTTGATTTTCTGGGTAATTTGTGTTAATTTTATCAGGGAAAAACTATGTGAAAAACCCTGTTCAAATGTTTAATTAATATTGTGGTTTAGATAACAGGCTTAGGTTTAAATATTATATATTATCAGTCAAGCACTCTACGCTCCCAATATATTGGCAATTTCCCGTATATTAGGCCGTGTTTGTAATTAATGTTATCATGCGCTCGCAATTCAGTAATGTTTTTCGTTAATTCACTAATTTTAATTTTGTTTTTATAAAAATTGTTGGAAAGGAAAATTATTAAGTCTTTTATTAATGGTAAGTCTGTAGCTTCGTGCATGTCGTCTATTCTGACATATCGGCCAGAACTCGTTACATGCCTAAGCACTTTATTCTGCAATCTTTGTATGGCTGTATAGTTAGCTTCGGAAATTCCGCACCACACAGGACAACCATACGTGATTATAGGTCTAATTGCTACCTTATAAACTATAATTTTGTTTTTCAAAGACAGGGGACTATTCTTTTTAATTATTGGGTAGAGCCCCCTCAGCGCTACATATAATTTAGATTTAATATTATTAATATGTTTGGTGAAAGTTAGCCCGCTGTCCAAGGTTATGCTCAGGTATTTGACCGCTTTGGCCTCAACCAGCACATGCCCCCCCAAGTTTATAGGACTAAAAATTTTGTTATTTGTGAATTTTTTGGTAAAATGAATTAACTCGGTTTTGCTATTGTTTATTTTGATCTTCCACCTACTAAAGTACTTCTCCAGTAGCTTGAGGTGGATTTTCAGCTGTTCATTTGCAACCGCAGAGAAATAAGAGTGGGCATATAGGGCTGTATCATCAGCATACAGCCCCATGCTGGTTTTAGCAAATTTAGGCGTATCAGCCGTGTATAAAGTGTACAACACCGGAGCCAACACAGTCCCTTGCGGGACCCCAGCCTCAATGCTGCGCACCTCAGACACAGACTGATCCACCCTCACCTGAAATCTGCGGTCACAAATGTATGAAGCCATGAGTTTGACAATAGCAGGCGGAAAATCAAAAAACTTTAGCTTGTACAGCAGGGCATTTTGCCAAACAGTGTCGAAGGCTTTTTCAACGTCAAGCAGTACCATCACAGTATCACTTGTCGATTCATGGACGAATACGCTAGTCAAGGGACCACTTGAACAACTTATAATCTTTACCTTGAATAATCTACATACGCTAGGTTTGCCACGTCACACCACACAATATTTTCCGCATTTATTAATAATTACAATTATTAATTAATAATTACTAGTTGTTTGAGTAACACACACACACACTTACACAATTTCGCATCCAAGTCACTCATTTTAATACGATTATAGGCTGTTTTTAATATTTCATTTTCATTTTTCTCTGTCACATATATCGGTTTTCTACCAATGGTTCTGTGTTTGGTATTATTGTATTTGGAAACAATTTGCTGTAGCAAGTTAAGCCATTTGTAGTGTTCTTGACTCTACTCTTTCCACATTAAATTTTTCAATGTTCTATTTACTCGTTCAACAATTGAAGCCTTTTTCTCACTATAGTTATGGTAATGATTAATTTTATATTTTTTAACGAGTTGTAAAACTGTAATAATTGTAAAACTCTTTTCCCAAATCGGTTTGGATGTTTCGTGGAACTTGTTCTTTAAAAACATTTTCCATTGCCTTGCAAACTTGCACAGCACTTTTATTTTTTAACGGATATGCCCACACATATTTAGAAAAACAATTTATAACTACCAAAATGTATTTGTAACCATTGTTTATGTTTGAGTATGGTATCATTTCCACCAGGTCTGCTTGTAATAGATCGTCAAAGGATTTGATGATGATTCTGCGTCTTTTGAAATTAATTCTAGCAGGTTTCTTCGACCACATCCCTTTTAACGTCTGTAATAAATTTGGTGTTGTTCTTCTGCTGCCTTTTCATATTTATGCGATAACTTTAATTTCCCTCAATTCTGAAATAATTGACGTAATTTCCTTATTGTGTGCCGTGTGTCCTGCCTGCTGGTATGCAACCAATTCACGCAATCTCTCGACTAGTTCGTTTGGATAGTCAGTAAACGTAATCGATTTTGTTGTTGTTTGCTTTCAAAAATATGCCCTCCCCTGCGACAATTTGAGCTAATACCTTTAAAATATTAAAGAGTGGAT